CAATCCTAAATTTCTTTTCATATTCATGTTTTTTGTTGATTGATTTGATTATGCCACTTGTGGGCCACAGGTTATTTTTTCTTTTGTCAGTTACTTGTTTGGTAAGGAGGGGACAGTGAGTGTTGTAGAGGCTTAGTGAGATATAATAACACAGTGACATAACACTCAGTGAGTGTTATGTTTCCGGGGGGATATTAATAGGGTATTAAAAGTATCAACACAGGACAGAACACGAAACAATGGGTATAAATTGGATAAGTTTAGATTTAGACTTGGGTAAATACTGGTTCAGTAACAGGGTTGTTGATTTGTTTGGAGAGAAAGAGGTTAGTTAATGAGTTTATATCCTGTGTATTATTAAATTCGGATTCCCAGTTAACACTGTGAAGTGCATTAGAGAGATTGCCTAAAGCTGATTCACTGTGTAGCCTGAATGAGAGTTTCTTGCTTTCTGGTGGTGTTGTGTCCATGTTTGCTATGAGGAAGGTAGGATAGTGGTCAGTTGTTCTGTCATAGATTACCCCAGATGTAAGGGGAGCTGTTATATTAGTCCATAAGTGATCCAGGGTAGTGGCAGATGTTTGAGTGACTCGGGTGGGCTTGGTGATTGTGGGGATTAGCATACAGGAGTGCATGCTGTTACGGAAATAGTCAACTTGAGGGTTGTTTTGAAGACCCAGGTCAATATTGAAATCACCTCCCAGAATGATGTGATTTTTGTTGAGATTGTTGTTTATGATAAGATTCCTTACGTTGTCTGAGAAAGAAGCTATGTTAGTATTGGGAAATCTATAGATGGCACCGATAGTCAGGGAGGATTTAAGGGATTTACTGGAGAACTTGGCAAAGGTATATTCACAATAGTCGTCTCTATCACTGATGACACTATTGCAGATGAAGGTATCTTTGTAATATATTGCTGTACCACCTCCTTTTTTATTAGGCCTGCAGTTATGAATGGCTTTATAACCAGCTAAATTGTAGAGTTGGGTATAGTCATTACTTAGCCAAGTTTCTGTTAAAATGATGAATGATAAATTAGTACCTAGAGCTGTGAGTAGTGCATTTATATCATCAAAATGTTTACCAAGTGACCTAACATTTTGGTTGTAAACTGATAAGCAGGTGATATTTAGGAGTTTGTTGTTTGCAAGATTTGCTGTGTAATACCTGCAATAATGATGATCAATGTGCTGATTTGTGTGGGTATGAGACAGAAGATTTCGATCAGGATCAATATCAGTAAGCATATAGATACAATAATGTCACAATACAATAAGATAAGCAATTACAGGAACAGATAAATACTAAAACTGCTGTAAATAGAAAGTAATTATAGCAAAACACAACAATAAATGTAGGTACACAAAAAATAGAAACAATTAGAAGTAGAGTAAAGATCCCCGTAGATAGCCAGGAAGGATACAGTAGTTAGGTTAAGAGAGAAGAAAAAGACAGTAGACTGACAAGAATAATATATAGCAAAAAATAGAGACAAATAATAATCGTAAAGATAATCTTAAAAAATCAATTATTTAATATAGCTTAGTTGTAAACCTATAATTAGTATGAACTTAAGAAAAAAAAATGAGCTCAGTAATTAATTACAATAAATGGTGTATAAATCAAATTACAATTAAATTAACAAAATTAAAAACAAAAACAAAAGTAACAGGGTAAGATTATATTTATGAGCCAGATTTTACTAAGACACTGAGGTAAATGCTTACATAAATACAAAGTCTGCTATAATTAGAGAATAATTATAGCAAAACACAACAATAAATGCAAGTAAACAAAAGAATTGAAACAATTAGAAGTAGAATAAAGGTCACCAGATAGCCATGGAGGGTACACAAGTTTGGTGGAGAGAACAAAAAAACAGTAGAGACTGTCAAGATGAATATATAAAAAATTTGACAAATGATAATTGTAAAGTAAAATAATCTTAGATAATTAATTTTATTTAGCTTAGTTTTTTAACTTATAATTAGTATGAACTTAATTAAGAGAACAAAATGAGATCAATAATTAATTTCAATAAATGACATAAATCAGAACAAATTAAATTTAAAATTAAAAAAAAATAGGGTACGATTAGATTTAAGAGTAAAATTTTACAATTATACTGAGGTAGATGCTTGCGTAAGTGCATGGAGACTTGACTGATTATTGAGGAAATTATATGAATGAGAGAACATTAGGTAAATGGTAAGGCAGAGATAACACCTTGGACAAAGTTAGATTAAGTTAGGTTAGACTCAGGCACTCAAAGAGATATTTTAAGTATTGGTATTGGTCGGGTTCAGGTTTTCAGATATACCACAATCACTAAAGAAGGACAGTAGTTGTTGGTCACACTTTATTTCATATTTTTTTCCTGCACTTTCCTTCATTGCAATGATCGTTCCATTCCTAGTGTAGCACTGCTTGATAAGACCAGGGTTTTGTTTGCGAATTGTACGCAGCCTGAAGAGGAGGGATCCACGCTGCTTTGTAAGGCACTCATTTATATAGAGGTTGGTTTTATGCTTAGCAGCTGATTGTATGAGGTCGAACTTAACAGAGGGATTTGCAAGTTTGATGAGCATTCTCCTACTGCTACGGGAACTGTTTTTATCTATCCTGATATCTGATTTGATATCAACATTGACTTTGATCTTGGAATTAATTAGGCTGTGGGCTATGTTACAACAATTCTCACCTTGTTGTTCTTCAGGTAGATCAGTAGAGCTAATTATCAGAGAGTCATGAAGTTGTTGCTGCTCTAGGTCATCTTCGGAAGCCGCCTGGTGAATCTGAAGGAGATTGATTTGTTTTTCCAGCTTTTGAAGAAAGTCACTTTGAGCTGAGTGGGTTTCCTCGGCCTGAATCTTTTGTATTTGATCCATTGCGTCATTTGCAACAGCTTGTGAGTTGAGAATTTCTTGGTTGTTGTTCGTCGACGATTCAAGGAGGCGGTCTATGGTTTGTTGTTGTTGGGTGACTGGCTTGGAGGGCCGAAATAGCTTCAGATTGCAGGAGCACAAGGTAGTGCAGTTTCTGCAGTCATGGGTTACTCCTCAGAGGTTTGAAGTTTAGACAGGGAGCCATAGATTGAATGAATTCTAAAGCTTGAGATTCAAGCTGAGTTGAAGGAGGGGAGTGAGGAGGGGGAGCGGATGCTGTGTTTTCTGATCAGGGGGAGAAAGATACTGGCAGTATGGGGCTTTAAAGTTTATTGAAGATTAAATTCTGCAGAACATGTAAATATATAAAGTAAGAATTAACAGTAACAATTCCAAGTCCGAGGACTAGATTTAACTTAACAGGTACACCCGTAGTAAGTATGAGACCTTAGCCTATAGTGACATGGAAACTAAATCTGCAGAAACCTAAAGCTTAACTGGTACTAGAATTAAGGCCGAGTGCAAATGTGTAGTAATTATATAACACTAGGATATAACAGGCAGGACACAAAGAGTAACTAATAAGTGAGAGACCACATAACACATAATGGACCCGACCAAGAGGCCGTAAAGACCTAATGAATAAGGAGAAGGGGGGGTGACTACAAGTAGGGCTTACTAGCACCTAGACTGGGCAAAGTATTAGCTGCGGACAGCGGGACACTTGGGGACCGGCGCTGCACCCCCACCGCAGGCCAGCGGCCGGCCCCCCCCCCCCCCGAAGGGCGAGTGCCAGCTGGCCGCGTGAGGCACTCAAAGTGGCAGAGCAACAACGTCCCGTCTGACGTAGGATGTGAAAGCACTACTCTTCCACCTGCCGACTGCCATTATTTCTGATGTGGCGAGCCCGTCCCGAGACAGCTGGGTGCAGGCCCTGCCGATACGGAAGGAATGCGGCGCGTAGTCATCTGGAGGCAAGCCTAGCGCCGAGAGGGCAGTGCGTAGGATCCTGGAGAAATCTCGCCTGGTGACAAGAGCGCCTGCGGCGTGTTTGAATATGGGCCCCGGGCCCACGCCCCTGTAATTAAAGTATTTAGACAGAGCACGGACCGGGCAGTACTTGCTGGAAGGGTTCGCTCTCAGGGGGAGGGTGGGCGTGCGACCTGCACTGTGCTTGTAGGTGTTGAAGACGATATCTATTCAGATTCAGATTCAGATGTTTATTCAGGTAAGGTATATACATACAAGTGATGTTACATTAATGGATTGATATATAGATAGAGCTAGTACATACAATGCCTAAAGCCACTATTACGCAATGCGTTTCGGGCAAGAAAAACATTAATATCTAGAACTTAATACTAATTGAGCATAAAGAATAAAAAGTGTTGAGAACAAATACAAATAAAGATAAAAAAAAGGGGGAACATGACTGAAAAAGCAGCACAAATACAATAGGTTGACAAACAGTGTTGATTAAAAAAAAAAAGAAAAGAAAATAACAGACATGGGTTGACAATAGAGGAGTGAGGTAGGTTACAGGGAATTTATTAGGTAGTGTTTAGTTTTTTTCTTAAACTGGTTGAGAGAGGTACAGTCTTTAACATGGTTGGGAAGGTCATTCCACATTCTGGGCCCCTTGATTTGCAGAGCATTTCTAGTTTGATTAAGACGTACTCTAGGAATATCAAAACTGTATTTATTTCTGGTGTGGTGCTCATGGGTTCTGTTACAACCTTCTATGAAGCTTTTAAGATCAGGATTGGCATTATAGTTTAGCGTTTTATATATGTATAATACACATGAGAGAATGTGCAGTGACTTAATATCTAACATATTCAGAGATTTGAGTAGGGGTACCGAGTGATGTCTGGGGCCAGAGTTGGATATTGTTCTAATAGCAGCTTTGTGTTGGGTAATTAGAGGACGCAAGTGATTTTGGGTAGTAGAACCCCAAGCACAAATACCATAGTTGAGATAAGGATAGATAAGGGAGTAATAGAGAGTCACCAGGGCAGGGCGTGGTACATAATATCTGATCTTAGAAAGAATGCCCACAGTTTTTGAAACTTTTTTTGATATATTTAGAATGTGTCCCTGGAAATTCAGCTTGTGGTCAATGAGAATGCCAAGGAATTTGCCATCTAATTTGTTACAAATTTGGGTATTGTTTATTTTGAGATTTATATGACTAGAGGATTTATTGCCAAACAGAATATATTCCTGCCGTCGTAAGTGATACCTGCTCAAGGTTGAGCGTGTGTCGTCCATGCTCCACGTAGACCGCCTCACCCGGGCGTAGGCAGGCGTGGAAAGCCAGGGAGAAGAGCGCCCTGTAGCAAGACTTCTCATAGGCAGAGTTACATACGCCTCCCAGTGCCCGCAGCAGGCGATGCAGGAGGCTCCTCGTCACAGGGAGACGCCGTGCAGGGGCCCGCTGTGCGGAGTTACGTGCCCCTTTGAGGAGTTGGGTGACCAGGAACTGCCGAGTTGGGTCCCTCCTACCGTGTAGCTTGCAGACGAAGGCGATGGCCGCTAGATAGGCGTGCAGAGAGCGGTAAGCCAGGCCCCGCGAGAGCAGAGATTGCAGGAAGTTCACCAGAGTCGAAGGTGCAGCATCAAAGGGGCATTCTCCTCGCCGCCCTGCCGAGACGTAGGCGGCGTACTCCACCCACTTAGCCCTGTAAGTACGCCTCGTCGCTGGCTGCAGGGAGTTGAATAGGGTCCTCACAGTTGCAGGGCAGGAGGTGCGCGGGAACTGTTGTCGGCGTCTCGGCGAGGCCTGCTTCTCGCAGGAACAAGGGCGGCAGCGTCTGTAAGCGGGAAAGAGCATCACAAACCCCGTTTAATTTTCCTGGGAGGTGGGAGGGTAGGAGTGTAATGTTATGGATGAGTAAGAGCACTGCCAAGGGCCTGACAATTTGCATTAGTAGGGGGCACCTAGCAGAGAGTGTGTTGAGCACGTTTACCACTGCACTGTTGTCCGATTTGCACACCAGCCTCTTATTGGCCAATACCGGGGCGAAAAGTGCTATACCCATGAAGAAAGGGTAGAGCTCGAGCAAAGCAATGTTGAGCCGACCCCAGACCTGCGGCCACGTTCCCCTGAACCAGGCTGCCCCTAGCGTTAGGCCATACCTCTTGGAAGAAGCATCTGCACACATTGAAAGTGATGGAGCGTTTCCCCATCCGCCATCTGGGGGAAAGACTGTTACTCCATTGAAGTCAGTGAGGAAGGAGCGCCAGGCGGCGAGATCGAGCTTAGCCTCAGCGTCCAAGTGGCATAGGCGCGAGGGGCGCTGTGGGCCTCGCGTAAGCAGGTGCAGACGACGCAAGAAGGCCCGGCCGCCCGGGATTACCGCGGTGGCGAATTGCAACTTCCCAATGATCGCCTGCAGGTCCCGGAGGGGGATGCGCTCCAGACTCAGCGCGACTTCCACTGCTGCCGTGTACTTCGTTCTCTTGTCCTCTGGTAGTCTTGTTTCCATCCTGTGAGCGTCAATCTCCAGCCCCAGGAACGTGAGGCAGGAGCACGGGCCCTCTGTTTTGTGAGGTGCCAAGGGGACCCCCAATCGCTCGCAGAGGGCAGTGAACACCCTCAGGCTTCGCTGGCACTCGTCGAAAGTGAAACTGACGAAGAGGAAGTCGTCCAATACCTTCACAACGTCGCGCACCCCAAACTTCTACGCGAGGATCCATTGCAGGGCACTGGAGAAGGTCTCGAAGATCCGGCAGGAGGGGGCGGCTCCCATGCTGAGCATCTTCTCGTAGTAGTACTTGCCCCCATAAGAAAACCCCAGGAGATGGTAGTCGCTCGGGTGTACTGGGACGATCCTGAAAGCTTCTGCGATGTCGCACTTTGCCAGGTGAGCCCCCGGGGACCGGCTGACAACCATTGTCACCGCATCATGGATAGACTGGTAGGTGACGGACGTCGATTCCCGGGGGATGTTGGCGTTCACACTGTCAGGGGAGTAAGGGTAGCTAAGGTTGTGCAGGAGGCGGTACTTGCCCGGCGTAGACTTCTCCCTCAGTGCTATGGGCAAACACTTGAAATTCTTGAAAGGGGGGGGCTTCGAAGGGGCCCGCGATGCGTCCTAGACTCAACTCCTTGTCGAGCATGGGCCCGACGATGTGCGGGAGGTCCGTCGTAGCCTGAGGGTTGCGTGAAGTGAGGGGGGTTCGCACTCCTTCAAAGCCAAGTAGGAACCCCCCTCTGAAGCCCCCCACGACGTAGTCTCGCAGGGGGTATCCCACCAGCAAAGCATCAAGGGCGTCGGCGTCCACCGGCGTTGTTACTGCCGGCGTTCTTCTTAGCCTTGTCCTGTGGTTGTCTTCGTGGGCGCTGGTCATGGGTGGGTCCGTCGCGTATGTGAGCTGGGGGGCACGTGGTGTAGGCCGGGTGCCTCCTTCGGCAGCGCGGGCAGTAGTGCAGGAAGGAACATGAAGTAAAACTGCAGCCGGGTCCTCTCGAGTGGTAGGCAAAGCAGTAGCCCGGGGGGAGCCCTGCAACCCGGGCGCTAGAGAGGGTAAGGGCTGCCGGCCGACCTGCCTCCTGTCTGCCTGTCTGAACAGCGACGTGTGCGACGCGCTGTACCGAGCGGAATTCCAGGTCCAGCCTGTAATCAAGCCAAGAACAGTCCGACCTCTCCTTGTCCCATCTGAAGGCCTTGTCGTACCACATCCAGTCATTTTTAAGGGTCACCTTCATGGTCTTGACGTAGCGGCTTTGCGAGGGCAGCGGCGAGGGCAGGCGGAGTGAGGGCAGAGCCCCTCTGTGCCCCCGTATTTATACGGCCCCAGACTGCCCGCGCAACGCCGCGGGACGCGCTGCGCAAATGTTTCTTTCTACCCCATCAGAAACATCCCCGCTTGCGAAGCAGTGGCCATTTACCAACATCGGTGAGGATTGCAGCGTTGCCAGTGTTCCATTCAGATCTCTAGGAGTTATGGATGAAGAGCGAGAGGCACCCCTACCTTGCTTGTTGCTATGTTTGGGCATGTTTTCGGCGATAGATTCTTGGTAGTGTTTCTACAGGTAGATGCTTGGAAAATTAAAGTGGGGATAGGTGTATAGTGAATGCTTGGCAGACGGGGCGTCGATAGGCAGGCGAAAATTGATTAATTTTGGTTGATTACTTTTGAGGTTCGCTGTGAGTTATGGCATATTAAGTCTCCATGCACTTAACTCGTGCTGGGCAGCAGTTAGGCCATGCAATGTTGAGTGGAGACGAAATTACCACGAATTTTCTGCAGCAGTGCCGGTGCCGGTGCCACCCGCCAGATATCGGTAATATTTATATCATGGTAATATTTCTTAGCTATCTGCAGGCTTAGCACTTTGGGGGTTCCAGCGGAGCACCCCCAAAGATACCGCAAATGCTTAGCAAGCTAGAACAAGTGCCCCCTGAGCCTGTCTGTGCGTCGTTCCTTTGAAAAGAAAACAGAGGATACAGAGGATCCAGGGAGGAGGGTGGGCGTTTTGTAAGTGAGCAGCTGCTTGCTTGTCGAGACAGGAGCCACCCAGTCTGCAGGCAGAGCTTATATTTATTTATTTATTTATTTATTTATGTATATACAAGAAGGTACATTGGGATTGTGAGGATACATAATATGGTAATTACAGTCTTGTAAAGCCACTAGTACGCGCAGCGTTTCGGGCAGGTCCTTAATCTAAGAAAATTTTAAGTAGGTAAATACTTGCAAAATTTATAAAAAATGATAAGTTACAAGGCAAGAAAAAAAGATGAGAGAAAATTGTAGGTATATTAAAGCACATAGATAGCTCAGATTGATTGCAATGACAGCTTGAATGGTAGTTGACAAAAATTGGTAGTCACAATACAGCATATGGCTAGCACATAAAATAAGACAGCAATGAACACAATGATAAGGTTGTTTGGGTTAAGTACATAAAAATTGGGAGATTGGGTAACACTATATACAGAGTAAATTTAAAGCTCAGTGTAGGAAACTAAGAAGATGAAATTTTGTATTTTTTGGTTTTGCTTTTAAATAAGGCAAAAGTTTGACAGTTTTTCAATTCACTAGGGAGTGAGTTCCATAGACTAGGTCTCTTAATTTGCATAGAGTGTTTACACAGATTAAGTTTGACCCTGGGGATATCAAAGAGATATTTATTTCTGGTGTGGTGATAATGGGTCCTATTACATCTGTCCAGGGAGAGTTTCAGAGCATGGTTTGCATTTAAGAACAGGGTTTTGTAAATGTAGTTGACACAAGAGAATGTGTGTAGGGAGTTAATATTTAGCAAGTTTAGGGATTTAAACAAGGGAGCTGAGTGTTGTCTGAAAGCAGAGTTAGTTATTATTCTGATAGCAGATTTTTGCTGTGTGATGATGGGCTTAAGATGGCTTGCAGTGGTAGACCCCCATGCACAGATACCATAATTAAGATAGGGATAGATTAGTGCATAATATAGTGAGAGGAGAGCAGAGTTAGGAACATAATATCTTATTTTGGAGAGTATACCAACTGTCTTAGAGACTTTCTTAGTTATGTGTTGAATGTGGGTGCTGAAGTTGAGTCTCTTGTCTAGGAATAGGACAAAAAACTTGCCATCATTTGTATTACTAATGGTAATGTTGTCTATCTGTAGCTGAATTGCATTTGCTGATTTGCTTCCAAATAGGATGTAGTAAGTCTTTTTTATGTTTAATGTTAGTTTGTTAGTTGACATCCATAAGTGGACTTTTTTCATTCATTATTCACAACATTATTTAGTGTATGTGGGTTGGGGTCTGAATAGATAAGGGTAGTATCGTCAGCAAACAATATAGGTTTAAGAATATTAGAGACATTAGGCAGATCGTTTATATATATAAGAAATAGAAGAGGTCCTAAGATACTGCCCTGTGGCACTCCAACGGTAATTGTTAGAGTGGAAGAAGTTGTATCATTGATGGTTACATATTGGTGTCTGTCACTAAGATAGGATCGGATGTAGTCAAGGGCAAGGCCTCGGATTCCATAATGCTGGAGTTTAAGTAAGAGGTAGTTGTGAATAACAGTATCAAAGGCTTTTCTTAGGTCAATGAAGAGTCCAATCGGAAACTCATTTTTGTTAAGGGCTGAGTAGATTACGTCAAGGAGACTAATGATTGCATCATTGGTGCTCTTTTGGGACCGGAAGCCAAACTGGCAGGGGCTGAGTATGTCGAATTTTACGAGGTTGGAATAGAGCTGTTTGTAAATAATTTTTTCTAATTTTTTGATAGAATGGGTATGTTTGATATTGGTCAATAATTGTTTATGTCCGCCGGATTGCCTCCTTTATGGAGTGGCATTACTCTTGCTTTTTTGAGGATATCAGGGAAGGCGTGACACTCTATAGATTTGTTGAACAGTAGTGCTATGGGTGGGCAAGGGCATGGGAGGCTCTCTTGTATACAATGGACGGAATTTCACTGGTGTTCCCTGCCTTGGTTTTTAGAGAGTGTATGATGGACACAACATCTGCCAGGCTGATTGGTGAAAGGAGAAGAGTTTGGATAGCTGCCTGAGAGATATGTGTTAATATGTGTCTGAGTCTGTGGGATTTTACTGGCAAGATTAGCACCAACCGATGAAAAGAAACTATTAAATTCATTTGCCATTTCTAAATCAGTTGACGGTATATCCCCATCCTTGTAGTTTTATTTGGTTATGTGAGTGTTGTTTAGTTCGTAGGATACTAGAGATTGTTTTCCAAGTACTTTTCATGTTGCATTTTGCTTCATTGAACCTATTCACATAATATGTAAGTTTTGCCTTTCTTATGATACTGGTAAGCATTGATGAGTACCTTTTAGCT